GGCTCAAAATCATGAGAGAGAAAAGTTGCTCAGTTCGTGGGCACTGGCATTCTGCATCATGGTGTCTGGGACTCTCTTCTCAAAGCAAAGTATTTTAGCTTTGCAAATCTGAGGCTACAAAGCATAGAGTCCTACTGCTTTTTGTGATGCCCCCAGGCCACCTTTTTTATTCTTCTGTTCCTTCTCAGCCATCAAGATGTTCTCTGCTCTATCTTTGCAGTCCAAAGCTTTTCTGGAGCTTCCTTTCTGGCCAAATTCAAAACATTGTAAATAATTCTACTGGGTTCTTTGCTCTTGATTTTCAACATAAATCTGGCTAAAATGACCCAATAGTAGCCATGCTACTGCCTCAACTTTAGAGTGCCTTGAAATATCTTCTGTAAGACTGATTAATCCACCACCCTTAACCTTATTCTCAGGAAAATTCTCTGGACAGGATCAAAAACGCAAACAAAATTCATGTAAAGGCATAACACACATGGCCTGTAGTCCAGTAACCCATGCAGTCTCTGAGCTCTGACCAGAACCTCTCATACAATATAGCCTCTGATGTTCAAGTTCTACTTTTTCAGCTGGCATCTCTAAACTTTTCCAAACTCTTCCCAAAAGCCATTCCCACAGACTCTTGAACCACATGGTCATGGATAGTCACAGCAACAATATGCTACTCTCACTACAAAATTCAGTCCTAGTTACTTTTTCTCTTGTTGCTGAGATGAAATGTCCAATACCCAAAGTTAAATGAGGAAAAGCTTATTTATCTCACAATGTGTAGAGGTTTCAGTTCATAATTGGCTACCTCCAATGCAAGGTGGCTTGGCAGAGGGCCATTATAGATAAGAACAGTTCATAGCACCTGCAAGATACCAAAAGCAACAAGGGACACTAACATTGTCATTCTGCCCCTTTCATACTCTATCTAGGCTACTGGTACCAGGGTAGTGCCACATCAATCAGTGGACTATTTTTTTTTTTTTTTTGTCTTTTTGAGACAAGGTCTTGCTATGCAGTTCTGACTGGTCTTGAACTCACTCTGTAGCCCAGGCTGGCCTCAAACTCACAACAATCCTCCTGCCTCAGCCTCCCAAGTGCTGGGATTACAAGTGTGCACCACCACACTTGGCCAGTGGACTATTTAATCCCATGATCACATGCTGTAGATTCAGCTACCTCTGAAAAAGTCCCATCTAAGACTGCATAAGGTCTTAGGGGGACATCTAGACACAAACCATAATATACCACCTACTGTGGTCAGAGTTTACAAAGCAAAAGATTTAATACAGGATGTGTAATTTATAGGCTTATTTAAAAATATTCATCCAAAGACACAAATGCAAAAGAATGCAGGAGATCTGTTCACAAACGAGAGACACAAACAATACAGCTGAGGGCTTGGATTCCACAGTAATGTCCTACACAAAACCAGCTGAAGACCTAGGTAAGGACCAGAGTTTCTCCAAAAAGAACTGCAGCCATCCTCAGCAACAGGGAGGACATGAGTCCCTCCAATGATAACAGCTGAGTTCATATCAGGAAAGCCAGCACAACAAGCTTCTGCAGGGAAATCCACAGTATATCATCTTCCCCTCCAGTTCTTTTTTATGCTGCTGGCAACAATCTTCAAGTTGACCATCCACATCCAGCATCATGATTCAATTCATCTGGGTGTTACAAGTTGATCGTTAGTTAATATACCACACCATCATTAGGAATCTTCTTGGTTCTCAGTGGACATAATCCTTGAACTGATGTTAAGGTTAAACTTTCCTCAATGGTCCTTGTGGTTAAGAAACATACTTATCTGGAAATTTAATATTACAACCTTCATGGCTAATTCTACCACCCTCAGCACCCATCATCTATTGGCACCTGATATATTATATGTGGGTGTTTATTTATTTACTTACTTATCCCTTTCCATACTACACTAAAAAGGCTTTAAGTTTGTCCTTTATATAGTAAATTATAAAAAGCACTTGCTGTATTCTTCGTGGTCAAAGGGGTTTGAAAGACTGATCAAGGGGAAAATATAAGCACAAAGTCAAAGTAGTACTAAGCAGATTTATTGAGACTGTATCTCCACTAATTTGCATGCAGAAGTTCTCACAGGATGACACTACAAAAAGCAATGGCAGGGCCACCATCCTGATAGCAAAAGGGTTAACAAGATTCCAGGGATAAAGCAGAGTCCAGATAGGGTTTTGTATCTAGGGTGATGTGAGGCAGCAACACTGTCTCGAATCTCTGAGTCACACAGCTCACAAGTGTAGCATGAGCTTGTGTCCTTCTCTACAAGTAGATGATGAGGGCAGTTTGGTAGGGAATGTAAACCAGGCAGGTTCTATCTAAATAGCCAAAAATCTGCTTATTTAGGCTATGTTTAAAGCAAATGATTATATTAAGCCTTGAGTTTGGTGCTAGATTAGTTTACAGCTAACAAGTCTTATCCTACAGTGATGTAAACAACATAGGGAGTCTATCACTTACAGAAATACATAATTTACAAGATAAGCTGATAATGCCCACCACCAGTGTGATGGGTAGAGGAATACGAAAGGACCAGTCTGGAGAGCCAGATGCTTCTGTCAAATGTGAAAGACATGGAGCTCACTGCAAAGTCTCTGTGAATCCATATCAGGAAGAAAAAGGGTCTGCATTTGATGAAGACCACTATGCAGCAGCCATGAGCAGGATTTAAATTAACCAATTAGCTTTTGATGTTTATTTGTGAGTCTGTCCAAGGCCTAGGCTCCTTGTCTGGAAGTGGGCAGTGGACTTATAATAAGTGAACCTTTGTGAGTCACTAATCCCTGCTAAGACCTATAATGACAGATGAAGCTAAAAAGCCTTAAAGGATAAGACAAGATCACAGCCAAGGACACCTAGATTCAACTTCAACTAGATAAAGACTGTAGCCTCAGGCATTTCACTCTTGGGTGTATTAACATAATACTTTACTTGGAGAAGTCCTTGAGTTGTTCCACACTTCTTGAGTACTCCTCTCCCTTCTTCTGATAATCAAATAAATATGGGCCATCCAGAGAAGGCTTTGGTCTTAGCCCTGAGAGAATCTTGAATTCTGTGAGAGGGACTTTATTCTCCTGGAGCCTGAAATCATTCCATTTGCCTTTTTTAATTTAGCCTTTGCAGTACATTTATTTGGGAGATTGCGGACATGATCAGCCCACAGTAGCTAAGGGATTAACCGGATATGCATTGGAAGGCTGAAGAGTCTGAGCTGCAAGGCTCAATAATGCACTGCAAGGTTGAAAAGGATGCAGAGGAAGCATCAAGGCAGATATTTAAAAGTGATAGAGAAGACAGGTACTACACTGAGAAACAGAAGTGAGACTTCCTTCTTTCTCTTTTCACTCTACCTAGGCTGCACACCTATTGGTTGGTGCCACATGCACCCAAGGTGTGTCTTATCTCTTCAATAAATCCATCATCAAGACACCCTTAAATCTTTGCTAAAACAAGAGAGAGGCCTCTATTATTCATATTGACTCCAGCATAAATATCACAGGGGCAAGAAACACAAACACATTATCTATTTGTAAAACATGCTGTGATAGACACACCATAGAAACAGCTAAACAAAACTAGTAAATTTTGTCACAGCTTCTGTCTTACAAAATTACTTGATGTGTAAATTTATGAGTTAATGAATCTTCACATATTGAATGAATTGATATATATTGAGTAAGAAAACAGGAGAAAAATGGTGGCCTACATGCACTTAGCACTACACAACTTGAATATAATCTTGTCAACATGAATATACCACTTAGAATGAAATAAAAATGTTCCTTATTTAATCCTAGTATATGAAGTGATATCTCATTCATTATCATAAAACATTCTGTAATATAAAATTAGGTGCTTTGAAACACCTAAAAATCCTATGTCCTAAAAATTGTATCTATTGAGTGGCAACATACAATTAAAGTTTTGTCCACTCCAATCCAGAGTATATGTTTTGCCCTATAAATTTTAATTATGTCTCTTGGTACTAGTAATTTTTCATAATTAAATTGTGACAGTGTTATAATCAGAGTCCCTCATTTAGGAATTTTTTCTGGCAGAACAATTTCCCATCCCTTTGACAGTATTCTAACTGTAAGCAAAACTACATGTAAACAGTTAAGATGCTCAATCATAAAAAAACTTAATTTAGAGTAACAGAAGTAAGAACACCTGATTACTTTAATTTCACTTCAGAATTTCTAACACCCTTTTTTATTCTTTAGTCCGATGTGTCAACCAACCCAAAGAATGCTAAATGCTATCACATTTAACTTGCAGAAAAGTAATGGCTATTTAAAGGGTACAGGAGCAAGTCCCAGGAAGTCATGGTAGATCACCATGTTCCCACTGAAAGTGCCAGGACAAGGGGAGGGGACCTTCTGGGAAGAAGAGAACCTGCTCATCATGCAGCCTTCCTGCTCACTGCCCAGGCAGATTCTTGCGTTCCTATACAAGTCCTATCACATTCGTGTGTTCCCTAAGTCTTTTCTCACAGATTTAATTACTCCCTCATATTCTCAAATATTCAGTCCTTGAATACTTGATGTAATTTCCACAGTCCTCTTCTCCTGAGTATTGGCTTTGGAGGATCAAGTTGATGGACTTAGGTCCAGCAGTAGTTTTAAAACTCCAAAAGAAACTTCACGTTCCAAAAACTTCTGCAATCTTACCTTTCCAATTAGCAGTGACTAATTTGTTCAATGGAACAAGTGATTTTGAAACAACAATAAGTTACATGTGAAACATTTAAGTCTGTTTCCAAGAAGACACAAAATGAGAAAAAAAAAATCACAAGTTAATTATTTTTATAACCCAGTTAATTTAAATAATAAAAAACTTGTGCAAGGATGATATGGGTTAACATTGACAGAATATCACTCTTAGGGGAGGCTTACTAAAATGAAGAGGAAACTATAAAAGAAACCCATGTGAAAGTTTGAGTTCATTTTTTAGAATTTGAAAGAGGAAAAATCATGCAACTATCAAGGACAGTAGGGTACTTCTGTGCAAGCATCTTCTTATTTAGTGCCATAATAGGGGCAGGAATATTTGTATCTCCTAAGGGGGTATTAAGATACTCCTCACTGAACATTCCTGTCTCCCTGAGTATTTGGGTTCTTTGTAGCATACTGAGTGTGATCAATGGTCTCTGTGTTGCAGAACTGGGGACCACTTTCCCTAGAACTGCATCACTTATTTTTTCCTCAAAAGATCTCTTGGATCTTGTGTTGCTTTCCTGAATCTTTGGATGGAAATTTTTGGTCTTTTAGTAGGACTAGCTGCTCAAAGCTTGTTCATAGCGAGCTATCTAATCCAGCCTTTCTATGCTCTATGCCCACCTCCAGAGCTGCCAAAGAAATGCCTAGCTTTTGCCATTTTGTGGTCACTGGGACTTCTGAATATTCAAGGGTTGACAACAGTGTCCTGGTTTCAAACTGTCAGCACTTTAGTGAAGATGGCTATTCTCTCTTTCATTTCCCTAACTGGGATTGTGCTTTGAGTGACTGGGAAAAAGGTGTTCAAGTTTGAGAATGCTTTGAATGCTGAACTTCCCAGTGCTTCACATATTGCAGAAGCCATTCTCCACGGATTCTATGCCTATGGGGAATCCTCATTCCTGGTCAACATAGCAGGCATGTTTGAATTTTCTAAACTACTGTATTAAATCTTCTAATGATTATTTCTTAAAGGTAGTCAAGTTCAATGAGTCAGTTGGATCATTTAAAAGGTTATAAAAAATACATATCTGATTTACTATTTTATTTATATTTCCTTATTTTTAAAATTTTGAACAGAAACTACAGCAGGTAGTATAATAATAATTATTGATTTCCTATTATCTTGTTTTAAAATTCTATAATGATATTTTATTTTTTATGTGCAAAAGTAAATAAAATTTCATAACAAAATAATAAGAGAGTAACAATAGTTCATACATTGCATATTGTTATCTGTAAAATAGTTACTCACAGTACAAGATACGGGCATAAAAACTTCTTCAAGCAATATTAGCACAAACCTTCCTTTTCAATTAACTAAGAGACACTACTAGTATAACTAACATGCATTATTTTTTCTTTTTACCTTCTTTCCTTTCCCTTTTCCCCCAGCCTACTTTCTTTTTCTTTTTGAACAATTTCTTCCAATTTTGTGATATTTATTGTACACATTAGATCTTATTTACTCTTTCAGCTTCTCATACCAGGGAGACAATATGATGTTTACACAAGTGAGTCTGATTTATTTCACTTATGACTATGGTCTCAAGTTGCATCCATTTACCTATAAAAGTCTCAACTTTATCCTTCTTTATGGGATAGTAGTACTCCATTATATATAAAAACTTCATATCTTTTTTATCAGTTCCTTGGTTGATGGGCATCCGAGTTGTTTCCAAGATTTAGCTATAACAAATTGTCCTATTATCAATATAGATACACATATATTTTTAATTACTCTGGGAAGATACTTAGAAGGGGAGTAGCTAGGTGGAATGGGATCTCTAATCCTAGCTTTAGGAGGAAATTCCATACTGATTTCCATGTGGCTACACCAGTCTGAACTCCCAAAGGTGGAGAAATGTTCCATTTTCTGCACAGCACCTATAGCATTTTTTTTCATTTCTTTATGACAGCCATTCTTTCCCAAGTGAGATAGAATCTCAGTGTTGCTTAATTTGCCATTCATGAATGATCAGTGATATTGAACATTTTTTATATATTTATTTGCCATTTGTATTTCTTCATCTGAGAAGTGTGTATTCACCTCAGATGCCCATTTTTGGACTGGGTCTTTGAATTTGGAGGATTTGACTTATTTCAATTCTTTATGTGTTCTAGATAAAAGTCCTTTGTCTGAGGGACAATTGGCTAAATTTTTCCCATTCACTGGGTTGTCTTTTCACTCTGTTCATGATTTCTTTTGATGTGTAGAAGTTTTTAATAAGATGAGATCCCAGTTGTTAATTATTTGAGGGATTTCCCATGCAGTCTAGGTTTTGTTCATGATGTATCTGCCTATACCTATGTCTTCAAGAGTTCTACCTATTTTCTTTCTAGTATATTTAATGTTTCTGTTTTAATATTTAGATCTTTGATCCATTTTGACTTTAGTTTAGTGCATGGTGATAGACATGGGTCTGGTTTTAGTTTTCAGCATGTAGAAAGTAAGTTTTCCTGCACCATTTATTAGAGGCTATCTTTCTTCCAGTGAACCTATTTGGCTCTTTTGTCAAAGCAAAGGTGATTTAGGGTACTTGTTTTTGTGTCTGAATCTTCTAATCTAGTCCACTGATCCTCAGGTCTATTTTTTTGCCAGTATCATGCTGATTTGAGCACAATAGCTTTGTAATATAATTTCACATTAGATGTTGATGCCCCCTCATTTGCCTTCATTGCCCAGAGCTGCTTTTGCTATTCTAGGTCTCCTTTGGTTTCAAATGAATATTAGGAATGTTTTCTCTAGTTCTGTGAGGTACAGTAATGGTATTTTGATTGGGACAGCATTAAATCTGTATAACAATTTTGGGAGTATGGCCCTGTTCACGATGTTGGCTCTTCCTGTCCACGAGAAAGGAATATCTTTCCATTTTCTGATATCCTTTTCTGTCTCCTTTTTCAGAGTGCTGTAATTTTCAATACATAGATCTTTTGCTTCTGCTGTTTAATTGCTTTGTCTCCCTGCTGCGAGAAACTTAAAGGGTAAATGGGGGCCAAAATGTACAACTGATATTGTGAAATGGGAAGAGATTCCTCAAAAGGAAAAAGAACTAAGGTGTGGAGAGGAGGAAAGAAGTAAGTGGAAAAGGAAACAAAAATGATATTTTAAAAAGAATAAAATTGGAGTGACCCAGCAAGGCACTCATAGCAGCAGCACTGGCAGGACACATACAGAAAGATTGCCCTAGTCAGGGACCCCCCAAGACCCAGGCATGGTCATACACACCATCAGCTGGTAAGTTAGATGAACCAGCATTGTGCTTTAGCACAAGAACAAGTGGGATAGAAGGGGATAGGTGGGACCATGACTCCATATATATATGGATGTATTCTATATCTATATCTATCTATATCTATATCATCTCTCTATAGATATAGATATAGATATTTTACAAATATTTCCTTTTTACAAACTGGCATCCTTCTTCTATTGTGACTCAGAAATTATGTCCATGGCTAGCTCTCCAGTGAAACCTAAAACTACACTTCCTTGATTTTTGAACTATATTAATTATAGCAGAATATGTGCTGTGTGGAGCTTCTTGCCTTTCAAGTTACAACTTTGTAGTTACAGACTTTTTCTTTCTAGTAAAACTCTACAAGTTCTACTTTTCATTCCACAGTCAATATTCCATTATAGACCTCTGAAGCTACACTGATATATATATATACATATATAGATAGATAGATAGGTAGACATAGATACAGATATAGATATAGATAGAGAGATATAGACAGATATAGATATAGATAGATATATGTAATTTTCTCCTATGGTTAAAAGTATCAGGTTAATAGTTACCAGTTTGTCAGCAGCCAGGGCACACTCTAGATTATTTTTATTGATAATTGTACTACTTTAGCCAAATATATATAAATATATAGAGAGATATGATATAGATATAGATAGATATATATATGATATAGATGAGATATATATATAGATAGAGAGAGAGAGATAGATATATAGATATAGATATAGATGAGATAGAGATAAATAGAGAGAGAGAGAGAGAGAGAGAGAGATATCAAAGAGCTGAGGGGATCCCCAGCAACAAGATGCCAGCACCAGCCTCCACATTCATAAGACACGATCAGCCCTATACCCAGAACAAATCCCACAGCAAAACTGACTGAAGTACACAATACATTTCTGAGATCAGATTTGGACCTACCACAAAGCTATGAACATCAGAGAAACTTTATTCCATTCATTTTCTATGTTTGATTGGTTTTCATTTTTCTATTTGGTTGAGGCCCTTTTAATTTAGTTTAGTTTTATCTTCTTTTATTTTTAGGGTTTTTCTGCTTCCTGTTTCTAGTCTCTTTTTCCTCTCTCTTTTTCTTTTTTCTTTTTTAAACACTTAGATTTTGTTTCCCTCTGTTTGTCTCCTAATTCTCTTTTTCCAACTATCTTCCCTGATTTTATGATACTTCCATGTATATAAACATTGCATCTTCTCTGTTCAGTTCACTTTAATAATCATTTGCTTCTTCTTCCATTCTTTCCCTCTTCTGTCCTCCAGTTTCCCAAAACTGAGGTAATCATCCCATGCCCTACAAGCCTTGCTTCTACTATTTAGGACCTTACTCATCTCTCTATCTTGTCCCCTGTCCCTCTTAATCTGCCCTCACAACAGGGTAAAATCACTCAAATAACAGGAAATCACTGCATACAGGTTCTTTATATATGATGGATTCTGTTATATAACTGTAGAATTTTCTCCTATGGTTAAAAGTATCAGGCTAATAGTTACCAGTTTGTCAGTAGCCAGGGTGCACTCTAGATTATTTTTATTGATAACTGTACTACTTTAGCCAGGGTACCATATCTACTATAATTAGTTTTTCTCTCCTATATGACAACACTGGGCTTGTATGGGATCACTACCATCACCATGATCTAGTACCAAAGGACTGGGTGATGAATCAAATAGATAAAATCTTCTCATCCTCAACACACTGGAAAAATAGGTTCTTCAGGTAGACACAAAGGCCAAGAACCACCTACATCTAGAAGATATCCTTTTGGAGCAACCATTTCCTAAGGAAGCCTTAATACTAGGGATAAAGCTATCATAAGAAACCTATAATCATCAACACAGAAAATAAAATAATACAAGAAATAGAAAACAGTAGATGACTACACACAGAAGCAAAATGCAACACCATACCCCCAGCCAACCAAGGACAAGCCAAGAGCACAATAACTTAGAGGAAATCAGAAGCCAATCACTGGATCTTTCTGAAATGATAGAGACAGAAGTGAAAAAACAAATGGAAGAAGTTATAGCAAAAATAATCTCTATGGTGTAAAAAGAAAGGACAATCAAAATAAATGATTTTTAAAATAGACATAGATTTAAAAAATAGAGGAGCACAGGAAAACAATGGAAAGCATAAAAGCCCTTCATAGGAAAGTAGAATCCATGAAACAGATACAAACAGAAGTCCAGGAGGTTAAAAAGTCATTGAAAGTATACATATCAGATTAAACGAAAGAGAGGAAAGAATATCATATCTAGAACACAGGATTGCATCTAGCAACCATGAAAAGAAAGATAAAAATAGCAAGCGATCATAAAAATCAATGCAATAGCTATAAGATGAAGCAAATAAGAACAGCATAAGATTGATTTGAGTCAGTGCAAAAGCCGGAGACAGTGCAAAATACATTAAAAAAAAAAAAAACTCTTCACAAAAATCATGGCTAAAGTCTTCCAAAATATGGATAAAGAATTTGACATGCAAATAAATGAAGCATATAGAACTCCAAATAGCCAAGACCAAAATAAATACACAACAGGGCACATAATAATCAAGATTCCAGAAATTCAGCACAAGAACAGAATATTAAAAGTGTATAGAGAAAGGAGACAAATCAGTTATAAAGGAAAAATCATCAGAATCACAGC